AACCTTTGAACAATTCAAGAAAAGTATAACGAAACAAGACGGGAGATACCAAATTACTAGCCTTGGAAAGACTCAATGGATAAACTAAAAAGCTATTATGGACTATGCTTCGGACGCCTTAAAACCTTGATCGGGAGGCTCCAGAACAATGAAGACATACTTCGACGGCACAACGAAACGATTCAGGATCAACTGCGGTCAGGCATAATTGAGGAAGTTCATCCTAATATGGATCAAGAGGGTATAATTTACTATCTATCTCATCATGAGGTGGTGATACCCCCGCACAAACCTATAACAAAACTCAAAATAGTCCATGATGCTTCGGCGCATCTCAAGGTAACAAAAAGTTTAAACGAAGTCTTATATCGCGGACCTATCATGCTTCCAGATTTAGTAGGAATACTATTGCGCTTTTGAATGATGAAGAATGAAATCATAGCCGACGTCGAGAAGGCATTTTTACAGTTAGAACTGCATCAGTCCGACAGGAACTGTACCATATTCCTCTGGGAAGATGATATTAAATGTGCGGTTACCGAGGAAAACCTGAAATGTTATCAATGTTTTGGAGTAATATCATCACCGTTTTTGCTAGTAGCAACAATCAATCATCATCTAGAAACGATCGAAAGCCAGACAGCGTTAGAGATCAGGAGGGTTCATATTTAAATAACGTCATGTTGTCAGCAAATGGAACAAGAGAAGCCATAAATAAATATTACGAAGTGAAGGATATCTTAAAGAAGGCAGCGATGAATATTCGCAAACTTTTTTCCAATGACCAAAACTTCAATAAGGCAATACCGAAACAAGACAAGATAGAATTGAAGGAGGTGCAACAAAAATTCTTGGCATCATTTGGATAAACGATAAAAATACAATCAGAGTAACGTTGAAACCATGGATCGAACATGAACTCACCAAACGAAGTGTCTTGCAATTTGTTGCTTCGCAATATGATCCTTCGGGATTTTTAGTCCCCGCAATGATCCAATTCGAACTATTTCTCCAAAACTTATGGAAAAGAAGTAATTTTTGGGATCAAATCCTCGATGAAGATGATAAAGAAGCATGGCGATCTCTTACAAAAGAATGGCCCGCAGACATTATCGAGATACCGAGGCTGGCTACAAAAAAGCTCTCAAATCAACAACTCCATGTCTTCACAGACGCATCAAGTGTTGCGTATTCAGCAACTGTATACATTTCAAACAAACATGTTGACGAAAGAAATAGCGCAATACTTTTCGCCAAATCAAGACTCGTTCCAATTAGAGGTATGACCATACCACGGCTGGAGCTGCTAACAATAGTTACTGGTGTACGAGCCGCCAACTTTGTTATAAAGCAATTGAGTCTGGGAAAAATCTCAGTGGTTTTATGGTCGAATTCGAAATGCGCATTACATTGGATTGAAATTACTACCCGAAATTATACATAACCGAGTAGAAATACGAAAGGTAAATTTCTCATTTCGATATGTACCAAGTGAAGATAATCCAGTCGATATTGCGACTAAAGGACTTTCTCCCGTAAAGCTTAGGCAATACAAGCTATGGTGGGAAGGGCCATCGTGGTTAACGGGTCCCGAAAGCGGATGGCCCCAATGGGAATACCAATCTACAGAAGAATTTAAAGACAAAGAAGAACGAATCGTTGCAATGGTCGCCTCTTAAACAATTGAGGTGACACAATTCTCGCTTATAGATGGAAGTCGATTCAGCAAGTAGTTTAAACTTGTAAGAATCACCATTTGGCTCAAATTTATTAAACTCACGACAAAGGGTAAAGTAGCATGGATACAACCGATATCGGCAGAAGTGAAATGACTAACGTCGGAGGACTTAAAATTAACCAAATGGGTGCTAATTAGACAGCGCAGACAGAAGGACTCAACAAGGACGAAAAGGAAAAATGGAATTTGTACTGCGATAACGGAAAACTATGGAGATCACAAAGTCGATTGGAAAATTTGGAACTAGACGGGGAAAGCAAACATCCAATCTACTTACCGAGACATAATAAAATTACCGAATTTGATACGACACAACATGAAAAGTTATATCACGCTGGAACAGCGCATGTTCTTTCGGAAATGAGGCGCAAATTTTGGATATCGAAAGGACGAATGGAGGTGAGACGTGTTATAACAGGCTGCACAGGCTGCAAACGTTGGACAGTAAGCCATTTAAACTACCAGCCGGGTCTTCCTGAATCACGAGTTTTACGTTCAAGGGCTTTTGAAAAAGATTGGATTATTTTGGCCCAATCTCCGTCAAAACCGAAGTTGGAGTAACCAAAAGATGGGTAGCCCTATTCACATATTTCACAACAAGAGTAGTTCATCTTGAGGTTGTAGAAAATTTGTCGGCTGAAAGTTTTCTACACATGCTAAGGAGATTCATTTCTCGACGTGGCTATCCGGAACGTGTTTTGAGCGACAATGCAAGCCAATTCCAAGTAGTTTTCAAAGCCATGAAAGAGCAGGAACACATCAGGATAGGTAAATTCCTGGCAGAAAAGGGAATGGTTG